GCTATTCCTTCTTGAACACTTATTGACCAATCTAGCTAGATTCTTCTATTTTCAGAGTCTTCATTCCCTCTCTTCTATCTTCAATTCCTTCCCTATTTTATTCCTTTCAACAACAAAAATAAATAAAATTATTTCTCACCTATATTTTTTCTCTGATCTGTCTTCTATCAGTATAGTGTATTTTAAAAATGTTTTTGTAACGAAAATAATTACTAAACTATATTAAAAATTTGAAAAGCAATGTTTTTTGTGTGTGAAAGAGGAGGGTGTGGTTTTGTGTGTGTGTGTTTGTGTGTGTGTGTGTGTGCAYGCRTGCATGTGCATATAATGCCAGGAAATAAAAGGCAACACCTTTGCCACAAACCTTGATACTAAGCAACCACCAACATATCTAACCCCGATCATTTTCCATTTTTTAAAGAATTCATTGTTTTTATTTAGTTGCGTCTACTGTTTCCTATTCAGCAGCATTTCACTTAAGAATAATAAATATGAAAAAGAATCAGAATGCTATAAAATTGTGCAAAGGTAAGTTACTAGGAACAATTGATACTTCTAATAATAAATGAATCCTTAATAAAATAAATACATATTTTGCATATTAAACTGTGATTATATCTTTTAGAATGATTACATTTAAAATGGTTTTAAAGCATTTTGGGTGCTTAACTTGGTAACCTTCATGGAATAATTATTTTCTAGTGTATTGGGACATGGAACGTGTTCCTCAGGAAACCCCAMGCTACTATGTTACTTCAGACTTTACTTGGTTAGTAGCACAATCCTAAGAATCAACATGAATAATTTCAAACCAAAGAAGCCTTCTCATATGCTATTATTCATATTTAGCTAAATTAGTAAACAAATTTATGCTGGATTGGAAAGTGCTAATAAAGTACTCCTTTAATTAGATAAAATCTAAAGTGATTCCTAGAATTTAAATATGAATGTGTAGTAATTATTTGAAATTTGCAGACAGGTGACACTGATGAGAATACAGCAGATATTTATATAATTTTAAGGAGATGCTTSTAATTCAAAGTAAATTATGACTGAGGAGGGAGATATTAAGGTGGTATTCCAATAATTGATTAAGCATTGCAGTCATGATATTGAGACAGTTGGAACAGAAGCTAGATTTTGGTTGAACTGCACAATTTTAAAATACCACCATCAGATCCTTCTGATTCTTTCCTAGACTTCCATGTAGCATGTGTCATGGTAATGCTTTTAAAAGCAGAGAATACTTTGCTTTCTAGTTTACAAGTATCTGATACTTGTTTGGTAGCCTAAATACCAATCACTAAATTTCCTTATTAAGTAAGATCTTCTTTCTCCTGTGTTCATTAGTCTTGGAGTTGAAAATAAGTGTAAAGGATTTGAGACAAAAATAAAATAAAATTGGAAAGGAGGAGGAAGGGAAGGAGGAAAGAAGGAAAATGGGGAAGGGGCAAGGACAGTAATATGTAATTGAAGAATTAACTCTAGAAACCAAACAGGTGCAGAAAGCAATACAGCAAAATATATAGCTCAGCAGTTTCCAGGTGCTTCAAATCTTAAGCAAAGTAGCAGGAGATAGATTTTCACAGATAGGCTCTGGTGAGCATATTTACCAAGGCTGGAGTACAATAAGAAACTCTGCTCCTGAAATTCAACTCAGCATAGATTGTTAAGCATGGAACTGGGGAAAAAAATGAAATGTCTTCCAATTTCAATATATCTAGAGAAAGGTTCAGCTCCCAAAATGATTTCTGCCTTTTTAGAAGGAGAATGTTGCTTGACATAACAACATGAAATTTATAATTTATACTACACTTTATTAAAGTGTAATTCTAATATCACCTTATTCCACTATTTTATTATATACAAACACTTCTTTCTGCTCTTTGGATTTCATTTTTATGCCTTGAAAAATAATATGCATCTGATATGCTGAGGAAAAAATATAGCAATAATGGTGKGATATTTCCTTTAAATATAAAAACTGGGCCATGAATTTTTAAAAATAATGAGTATAAAGAGAAAAACTACTTAGACTAATTAGCAAAATAAACTAGAACTGCAAAAACATGCTAATGTAACTAATTTTCATTTAAGTTGAAAAAACAAGTTCCATTGAAGCATATGCAGAAGATCAGAAAACCACAAGGATACCATATAATAAATTATCATTAGGTAACACATTGATGTAAACCAACATTAAGGTCAAGAAAAATCATTCTCAGCACCCTAAATCCTCCCCAATGTTCTTCTTACTTCTCCCAAAATAACTGGATGATTTCTCAAACCATTGATATATTTTGCCTTTTGTACTTAATGTAAGTAAAAGTTTTGCCTTTTGTATTTCATGTAAGTAAAAAAAATGGTATGTATTTTATGTTTCTAGCTTTGTTCTCTCAATAGTGTTTTGGGGAGATTTCCCCATATTGTTGTATAGAGAGATAATGTTCCATTGTGTTTGTGAGTATACGTACATTTCATGGTATGAGTGTATCAAAGGCCATTCATTTTTCTTGTTGTATAATTTCTAAAATGTGTGCTCAGCATATTCAGTACGTTTCCTATACATTCAAGCATGCTTCTCTTTTAGGCATATGTGAAGAGTGGTAGTGCTAAGCTATAAGGTGTGGGTATATTCAAGTTCAGCAAATGCTTCCCACTCTTTTCCAGATTTGTTGAACCAGTATTCATTCCTACTAATTGTGGAGGAATGTTTATGCTATTGCTTTATTGTCCATTTGCTGGGTGTGGATAGTATTCCATTCTAGTGTTAATTTGTTTTTCCTTGATCACTTATGGATAGTGTACATCACATCTTTTAAAGCTTCATAAAAGACATTTAATTTGTGCATAAAAATTACTTGTATTTTGCATATTGTAGGTAAGTTTTTTACTTTGCTCTTTAGCATTCTAGCTTAAGTGTAAACTGTTTAGTTTTGTGGTGTGCTACTGGGCAGTCATTAGCCTTCAGAACGTTAACTCATTTTTTTTCTACATTCTCAAGTTTTCTCAGAAATATAATCRTAAAAGTAAAAGATTTTCAAAAATTTCAGATTAAAAGTTTATATTTTGGTATGGTTATCAGCTTTAGCCAAGAAATAAGCTATTTAGATTTAATCTAAATAATAGAACTGTGGCAAACTAGAACATTCTCTCCAGATCATCATTTCTTTCTTTCCCAACCTCCTGAATTCTAGTTCCTTAATGAGTGTCATGGGAATCATGGAGGCCTATGAATGATAATCTAGAAATGGACAGCAGGGAAGGTATTGAAATTTTGTAGCATCTGCAGATAAAACCCCTATATTGTTCTAATTATCCACCACATCAAACTTTGAAGATGACAGAATGAAATTATATTGGAAAGATGCATTAAGACATTTGTTCTATCAGACAGCTGAACCAAGAACAATAGGTGAAATTTTAAAGAGATTACACACTAAAAGAGATCTGTGTCATTAAGAGGTGTCTAGCAACCTACCTAATGAAGATTGTTCTTCAGAGATTATTTTGCACTGAATGACAGTCTGTAGTAGATGATCACATAGACCTCTGTTAAATTACTCTTCATTAAAAYAATACAATTTATTTGGTATAGCCCATATCTGCCAAGCTAGAACAACTACAAACCCACCCCCCAAAAAATGCACAGAGACAAACACTGACTTAATTTTTGGACCTCCAAGTCTATAACGTTTTGAAAGTGCTACTTTCCTTATATACAGTCGAAACCTTTATTAATAGGCTTAAATATTGAATCTAAATGAGGGTGTTTGGCATAATATAAGAGCAAGAATAAAAATGCTTGAAATAAATTTCCATAAATATGAAGCAAGCCTGTCAATAAGTGTAATATCTGTCTGATTTAATAAAGAAATAGATAAACATAGAAACATGAGAATCATAAATGATGTTTTAATTTTCTACACCAACCATAATTGTCATACATCAGGTTAAAGTTTCCAAATTGAGATTTTTATTTAGCTAATCTCATTTAATATTGTTTCACAGTTATATACCTAAATGGAGATTGCTGCTTCTAAGCACAATGTCTAGGATCAAGTTAATCAGTTCTTTTACTAAAATTATTTGTATTGTAAATTTTGATGTTTTAAATTTGGTGTTATATTCATTATAACTAGTATACAGACTTGTCTGCTTTTCAGAAGACTAATTTAAAGTTAGAATTGCTGTTAAATTATTGAATGTCTTTTGCTGCATTATGCATATTTTCCAGATATAGAAATGTTTGGGGAAAGTAGTCCTTTGTCATTGAAAGAAGAAAGTTGATCTGCAATGCCCAGTCAGAAACATCTTTTAAACAAGGGGCTTAGATTACAGGGCAGTTTCCCTCTAGCTGATGGGCAKATTAACTATATCACCTTTCAGGGGGCCAATAGCATAGATGTCTACTAACACTTCCCACCCATGTTGGATCAGCTAGTTTCCAGTTCTCTTTGAATTTTTGGAGAGGCTTGGTTTGCCCAAGCTTTTGGAAAATGCATGAATTTTGGTACCTATAAAGAGAGGCTTCTTACCCCAGCACTAGGGCAAGGAGCAAGGGTAAGAGTCTTCCATTCACCATATGCTACTTTGTTCTCTGGATTAAAAGAAGTCAGAGGGGGCAAACATAAATGACATGTAAGGAGACCTTGAGCATTTCAGCTCATTTTGTACTTTAGTTATAGTGTTCATTGAAAGAAAAATTAAGCAACTCTCTTTTAAGTTTTATCATTCAGAACTGAGTTTGTCACCTAATAATTTATCAAGATAATCCTCTCCTTTTAGTCAGATTGCATGATGCCTAACTTGGACAAAAGATGAATCAATAGCATTATTAGAGAAGACTAGTTGCATATTATTATGAGTTGCTTGTATAAATTATTCTACCTATTTATCGACTACTTTTTAAATATGAAATGAAATAGTAACATTTCTTCCATGACTGAATAAAAATGTCTGTTAGCATAATTTGGTTGTTTGGCTATACTTTTTCCTAGATGTGTGTCATCACTATTGTGTGCATTCTGAATCATGTACTATYGGGGATGATGGAAGTGTTGAGTGTGTCTGTCCACCACGCTACGAGGGACCAAAATGTGAGGTTGACAAGTGTGTAAGATGCCATGGGGGACACTGCATTATAAATAAAGACAATGAAGATATATTTTGCAAGTAAGTGGATATGCAAGTTAATCTGCAATAGAGTATGAAAACCATGTGTATTACTTTTGTTCTCAAAATCTATATATGGCAATCATTGTATTTTATATTTGTCTAAAGATGAAGTCATTTCAATTAAATACAAATTTACTCCAAACCTGCTATAAGCATCTGAAGAACATGAAAATCTATCATTTAACAATATTCCTAAGAGTAAGTAAAAAAATAGTGAAATGCAACATATTTTCACAAATTTATGTGTAAAATTGTTCAATTCATATAGTTCAGGCTTTTAATTCTTTCATCATTATTAACACAGTGAGTGAGTTAGCATTTCTACTGATATAAATCAATCTTTGGGAGAGAAGCCAAATACCTGTATAATGAAAATAAGCATTACCTTTTTTTTTTTCTCAATCTGCCTTTGAACATTATGGTCCAAAATAAATAGAGGGAATAATGTGTTCCTGGAAGCAACTACAACAAAAATGTCCAAGTTTGACTTCTCTTACATTGCCTTTTGACCTTTGGCTTTGAGATTAACTGAATGGAAAACAGAACATAGTGGCTAAAGGGTAATGCCATTCTGTTTCTATCATGAAACAAGTTTATACTGCAGAGGTTAGAGATCAATCCTCACTCCAAACTACTTTTAACAGCCTTTTAAAAGAAGGGCTTATAAAGTACTGGATTCTGTCACATGCCTTGCTTAGGAGTAAAATAAATGAGAATATGAGATAGATAGCMTGCTATAAAGAGTCCATGCACAGATTCCACTGGGAACTTGAGGAGGGTGCCACATGAGTTATGTTGCTCTCCCAAACAAGGCCCAATAAAATTTTATTACAGACAGAACYAACGTTTTTCTTTCTTTTTTTTTTACTTACTCTCTTTTTAGAATTTAATCTAAATATGATTTGTGTTTTATTTATGAATGACATTTACTCAAAACAGCAAATTGGGTCATTTGAAAGTACATTATTTTTTAAGTAATTGAAAATATGACTTATATATAAAAGCATGTCTTTAATAATTACATAAAAGCAAAACATGCTTTCATATAAACTACCCAAATGGTGATTGTTCATTAAGCTCATCATTTGTTTGTGAGAAAACTTAAGTGGGATGAGACTTAATTTCAATTATTAGGAGTACTTTTTCTTCATGTCCAGTGTACCTTATCCAAATGAGCTTTAGTACCTTCTTTAAAATTCTGTTCACTTACACGTGGAATCATGGCTTTAAACCAAAAATTCATGTGCAAGTTGCCTTAGAAAAGCTCATTCAGAGATAAACACCTTGTGTCCATTGTAAAGAAATTTCATAAAAGTTAGGAAGGGCAGGACTTGGGACCCATTGATGAGAAACTGGCTTCTCCAAACTGGAAACATGAGATCCTCACAACCCTAGCAGGCTATTGAGGCTTAACATTATAGTTCTCATCTTTTAAAAGATCTTTTTGGAAATGTTGCCAACAGTGAATAAATAGTGGAGCTTTAAAAATAGAAGTACTATAGCACTTAATTTATCAGAGTCTACATAATATTTGAGCATGAAATTCAAACAGAATACTTTGTGTATTCGAAAGTATGTTAGATGACTTGGGGCTGGGGATGTGGCTCAAGCRGTGACATGCTTGCCTGGCATGCACAGGGCACTGGGTTTGATCCTCAGTACCACATAAAAATAAAATAAAGATGTTGTATCCACCGAAAACTGAAAAATAAATATTAAAAAATTCTCTCTATTTCTTTCTCTCTCTCCTCTGTCTCTCTCTAAAAAAAAAGAAAGTATGTTAGATGACTAAAGTTTGTTTTTATTTATCTGACATCTTTCATCTTAGCATTAAAATGAAACTTACATGAATTTTTGTTTCATAGGTCAAAAACTGATACTAAAAAAAATTCTAGCAAAATGTTCTGTTTTCCTTAAGTAGGAAAATYCAAGCCACATGTACAGTTGTGATTATAAATAGGCACTTGTGTTTCTAATGCACAGACCATGAATTAGGACAGGTACTCTATCAGTACAATGTTTAAAACACAGCTAATATATTTTTCTTCTGGAAATAGAAGTAAATATTGGAAAAAATCTTGATAATAATCTTGATTATTCTAAATAATACCTGTTTGATGTCTACTGTCATATGAAATTTCATTTTGTGTACTGGATAACTTGTAATTAAATTTTGGAAAGTAATATATCACAAACTTACACGTGTGTGCATATTTGTGTGTATTGTATATGCCTCCAAAGGAAAATTATTTTGAAAACTGACATATACACTGTAATTTTGAGGCATTATAATGATTTTAATAACTTCTGTTTTTACATTAAAACTATCCACACATTCTCTCTTTAATTTTGAATTCAAGTGAATTATTTAGAAGGAAAATTAGACAACATTTTTCAAACTTTCAAACATTTTTCAAACATTTTTCAAAGAGGAAATTTAAAATCAGTTATTATTATCATTACTATTTTTGATTATGAATTTTGGTATAAAGTTATCTTTTTGAGTTGAAAACCCTTAATGATCTACTTTCCTTCTTTGACAATGTCTCTTTGATAGAACAAGAAAATACAACTTTTTTCTCTTTTGATTATTAAGGAGGTTGGGCATGCAAGTTGAGGAAAAGCCCCTCAAACCCATTAAATATTTCAGACACCAATACCACTGACAGTGTAATTGATTCACTCTGCATCCATATTAGGATGTTATTGTAAGTTTTGAAAAGTGTRTATTTTCTGTTTTGTCTAAGAAATGTTAGACTGCCCTCCTCTTCCCCATGCTGGCTTCACATCTCACACATAATTAACTTAGCCTGTCCTGTTCATGGTGAAAAGAATTGTGGTTCTTAAACCCAGGTTCTTCAGAAATAACTTCAAATTAAACACCTGCAAATGTTATAAGTACCTCAATACGTTTCTGGAAATCATACAARTCACATAAGTTTAAATGCATATGGACAGAATAAATGAAGACCAGAATTGCCAACTATTTTTTAAGGCATTTTATTGATTGTGGGGGATTACCTTATAATGGTTGTAGTGCAACAGACATTCATCTTGCAGAGGATCAGGGTGATCAGTCAATGATATTCTATCCTGTTTTTTAAGGTAATATCCAGATTTTATTGTGATACCATGTTCCACTGGCAATTCAGATTTAGTAGGATCACATGGTGAGAATTATCAGTACAATCTCTCCAATTCCAGTTTGAGCCAAGGTGTATATGATTCAGTTACAATTACTTGCCATGAATTAGAGTGGGATCTTTGGTAATTAGGAATGTTGTTGCTCTTTTCACTGTCGAAGCCAAAATTTTGTTTAAAAATATGACTTGGCAGAAATATATTTTTAATATTTTTTTCTATTATTGTTAAGCTCATTTTTTTCCAGTATAATAACATAGTATTTATTGTTATCCCAAACACATGATTATGAATTAGAATCATTTTGGTAAATGTTTCAAGAAAGCCTGATTCATTACTTTCCTACAATATTGCACATTGCTTCTATAACATTACTGTTTATATTTTCAGTGAACTGCTCCATTTATCTGTTAGAATGAAAAGAATTTAGACAGTGACATTAATTACAATGTATATTCCAAGGAAAATGGTAGGATAAAAGTGAGGATAGAATAGCCTTATATTTTCTTGCAAGTTGGGGGTATCTAAAATTCCTAACATTATTGGACCAAATGCTCTAGTTTAGAAGAAAGAGGCTGAAGCATTTGCTCCAAAGTATTTGATCATGTGGATTATAACACACAGATGTCACCATATTCTCATTGTGTGAAAAAGGAAAAAAGATATTGGTGCTAGTGTCTCCCTGATGTGTGATTAGAGTGTGTTTCCACAGATATAACTAGCTGTATTAAATTTTATAGTAATTGAATGAATTGAAAATATGGAAATTACCAAAAGAAAAATATTATTAATCATCCTTTCTATTAAAAAAAAAACTTGGCTTCCAGCAAATCTATCTTCCTGAAAACTTACTTTTAGCCAGCCAGCCCATTATTCCCAGATGATGAATATTCTCATCTGCAGAGATTTTGTGTCARCTTTCAACAATAATAATGCCAGTAACAATGGGATTGTTTTTTTCTTTGTTGCTACAGCTGCACTAATGGAAAGATTGCCTCTAGCTGTCAGTTATGTGATGGCTACTGTTATAATGGTGGCACTTGCCAGCTGGACTCCGAGACAAATGTACCTGTGTGTCTGTGAGTATTTTATAATGTCATGGGTAATTTATGATAGATTTTGTATGTACATGGAATTCCTATTGTATTTTTCTCCTTTCTCAGGATGATACATTTTAAATGAGTGTTTCATGTACATCTCAAGTATTGTCCCTCATTGACTCATGTGCTACAGAATCTCCTTCATCAATTTGCTAATTATTTCATGAGGAAGAGCTCATTCAATTCTTAGCATCATGCCATTTCAGACATTTGCAGACCTTTGAACTTAGAAATGTCCGGGAAAACTGTTCCAATTTTATTGACCTTATTTGGCTATGTGAAGCCTAGAGACAATCATCTTTTATGAATCCCTTGGTACTTGTGCACATTCTTTTCAAAAGAACTTGAGATATCTTTTCAAATGTATAATGCTATTTGATGTTTGTATAAAGCTTAGACAGTATAGCATTATGTAAACCTATGAAGCCCCTGGTTCCTTCCCAATATATCATATCSAGTCTGGGGTTTCTAAATACATAGGAAAGTATTGAAAGTTATTGATGTCCACAAGAAAATCTGGAATTTCATATTCTCCCCCTTCAAAGTATCTAATTGTCCAGAATTAACAAATTGAAATAAAATCATCCAGCTTAAGTGGTCACTGTATAGAGCTGTGCTTAATTAACACTTTTTGATCAGRAAGGTGATGTCCACATATGATCTACGTCCACATACTGTTTTTCACTGTGTCAGGGTAGCATGTGATGAGTGTGTATGTGATACAAGTAAGCATTCCTAGGAACATTGTTGTTCAGATGTTACTATTTTTGTATAAAATAAATTTGACGCATATTTGGCAAAAAAAGAAAAAGAAAAAAGAAAAAAAAAAGTCAGACGCCTTATTTAGCTGTATTTTACTGAAATTCTACAGATGCTCTGTGGGGTTTAAAAGTCAGCGCTGTGACCAGAAAGAGAACCCTTGTGATCACTACTGTCAGAATGAGGGGATTTGCACTTTAACTGCGTTTAATGAGCCGAGATGCAAGTAGGTTTAACCTTCCACTTCCTGCTGCGCTTCGTGTGACATCATTTCAGGCCACAGTTCATTGGTTTAAATCATGAACATCCACATGCATTTCACAGTGTGTACTTAATCTCGGGGCTCATCTGTGTCAAACACACTTACCCTTTGCTTCGCTCACTGATAAGTATGTGCACCACAGACTGCTAGAGTGTCTAGAAATATATCAGAGAGAGAAGTAGAAATGCTAGTGGAACTGTCTAGTAAAAATACATGATCTAGAATAGTAGTTTTTAATTACAGAAGTACAGAAACAGGTGTTCTAAGACTCTATTACTGTATACTATATTTGGAATGATGATTTTTAATTAGTATCTGAGTTTTCCTTTTCAAGGAATGATGGAATAGTACAATATRATTTCYTAAAATTTTACTGAAAACTGTCTTAGTCAGTAAAACTTCGCAACAGAGAAAAGAGATGCATATCAACATATTTCCAAAGATGTGATTAATTCATAGTTTAAATCATTCTGTCTTCATCCCATTTGAGGTGTTTTGAATATCTGTGAAAAATAAGCTCCTGTTTCCTCTGAGAAGTTTCAAGGATCACTTCTGGGTTGATCATAGTGGAAGTTATTTTTGCTATGTGCATTTGAGCTCTGGAGATGGATTGTATTTGGCATCCGCCTTGACACCCAATATCATAATCAGCAGCTATTGTTGGCTTGCAATAAAGGTTGCATGGTGGTAGCAGCAATGTAACTAGTAATGAATTTACAGCTCAATTGTATTAAAATTTAGGTATTTCATTACCTAAACTTTATTATTTTGTTTATAATGAGTTGCCAGAGATTTGAGGCCAAAGCTTGAGCTGCAGGAGTATGGATTTGAAGGTGGTACCTATTGAGGTAGAGGAAAGCCCTGGGGATAGCTGCAGGGACCCCACAGCAAAAGGTTTGGCTGGCAACAATTCAAATGAAAAATGATGAGGGATTGAACCAGGAATGCAACTGCAAGGAAGAATAGAGAGAACACTGATTCATGGATATTTCAGAGTTAGTAAATCTGGGGTAGTCCTTGGCCAAAAACTGATCAAGGACTTATTTTATTTTCAGAATGCCTGTAATAACTGCAGTGAATCCCAGTATTTATTTATCCTGCCATGGTGGCACTGTTCTTGGGCAAAATACACAGATTTCAAGTCCCCTTGCCCTTTCCCGTAATTAGGTCTCAGGATGATTTCCTGTCCAGAACCAGAACAACAACCGATTTTTCAGGGTTTAGAAGCCTACAATATTATCAGACACTTTTCATCCTAAACAAATATTATCAGAGTCACAGGATTTAAACATAAATATCATCTTATATTATAACTGGGGTTTAGAGAATACCTTTTATTTTTATGTACCTATGTCTCTACAAATATCTACCTTTGGTGGCTTTATGAAAATTTTGCATGTGTCTTGGTTTCCTCTGCCCTATAATTTATTTTGAAAGTAAGAATAATGCTTATATTGTATTCCTCTAACAAGTCATAAAAGAAGCATAGAGGAATTGCATTCCATTATCATTCATTCATTCATTAAACAAACATTGATATATGATAAATAAGATATTGGGTTATTTTAGAAGGAAAATAACTACTGAACTGGAATAAGTAAATACCTTGTGTTAAGCACTATATGTTAAGTACTTCACATATTTCAGGTATAATGYTGAAAATTATATAACAATAATCATTATTTTCTAATATTTATTCCCATTTCAAAGATAACAACATGAGGTTAAATACTAGGAAGGTTCAAAAGTCCTTGTCCTGTTTATAGTTGTGTGCTRTACTTCTCATTTTATACTACACTAATCCCAATATGCAATACTTTGAAAGAACTTAAAATTCATTTAAGGTAGATAAATGATTTTAAAAAAATAAAATACCACTCATCAATTATAATAGAAATATCATAGTGCCATTGAAAAACAATGGAATATAGAGATTAATTAATGATTACATGTGGAAGAGTAAAAGACTTTGTAGGAGAAGTGATATTTTAATAGTTTTTTTGAAAAAAAAAACATAATAGACTTACAAGGGAGAAATGACTGAATATMTTTTTGAAAGAAGGAATAGCACATCCCAGCATCTTGGTAGGCTGAGAGAGGAGRATTGAGAGTTCAAAGCAAGCCTCAGCAAAATCGAGGTGCTAAGCAACTCAGTGAGGCTCTATCTGTAAATAAAATACAAAACAGGTGTGGGGACGTAGCTCCATGGTCAAGTGCCCCTTATTTCAATTCCCAGTACCCCCCCCCCCAAATAAAAGGAATAGAACAGAAAGAGATGAGGGTTATAAAGATAGAAAGCAGGTAGTGTGGTATACTGGGAGGAGAAAAGGACAAGGAAATAAGTTGGGACCTGTTTGTGAGATACACTTTATGCCATGATATGAGAGTGGGTTTACAGGAAGAAGGGCAGAAGGTTAAAGTTGAAATCCTAGGAAATGCTAATGTTTTGATATTGTTTAAAGAGGAGTCTGAAAAAGTAAATGTGAAGAAAATAGAAATCAGACRTTTAGTAAGAAGCAGATTCCTTCAAGTTGAAGGGGAAGACAATATGAAAGATCAGCCTCCCACCACAGTTCAAAGAGGACAACCTTTTTTTGTGGCTTACTGCACTTTACAATTAGATGGCTGTTGTGGGAGATGTGTCAAAGGCCTTATACAGGCAGAAACTTTACATTAGTTGGTTAAGTCAAAGTTGAGGAAGTAGAGAAAACTGTACATGCCCTCCTCAGAGTTTCATTATGGAATAAATCAAGGAAAACCAATAGGTAATTTCGAAGCAAAAAATATCTTTATAAAAAGGATCATATAAGTATTCAACAGAACTGTACTTTCACTATTTATTAAAGGCCAACAGTCCAGGCTACGCTGGTTAGAGAGATGTTTCAGACAGATTTCATGCTCATGTCTCTTAAGTGTGATATTTCTAGAATCTGGAAAAAATTATAATATTCTTCTGGATAGTTATAATTCATATGATACTAACACATAATATAAATATACTTAACATAAAGTGTCTACGATCAGTGCAATACAAAGTAATCCAGACAAGGGAGGATGCATGCCTCAGAATATCTTCCTAGTAGTTGTCTCTTCATTCAGGGAGATTTCTGGAAACATAGGTTTCAGCCTCAGGTCTCAGTGATCGTGAGCATGTATCTTTAATGAAAAGTYACTATGTACCATTTCATCTAAAAGCCTTTATAGGAAACAAAAAAAAATGCTTTAAGAAATATAATACAGTGCTTTCTATAGTTTCATTGGTAGTATATTTTCTTTTCTTCATACAGTGAAAAACTATTTGGAATTGTATAGTAGTTATACACATTTGGAAAGTCTGTAAAGTATTCAGATCTATGAAGGTGACAGCTTTCTTTTTTTCCCACATAGAAATTTTATAGCTGTATCCTTCAATTTAAGGAATAGATCTTTTCTCTGAAAGCCTTCACTTCTGTCTCTTGATGGCCATTTTCACTTGTGTCTATGTGTGGAAGAGAAAGCAAACTTCAAAGAGAAGCTTAGCAAAAAAGGATAAAATCTAGGTTTTTCAAAATGTTTATTTTGAGAGGGTGTTGGCATCAAAGTACCTATACTGAATAATGTTAAAACTACATTTTTAAAATACTGTTATTTTGATGACCTATTAGTAAATAATTTTTGTTGTAAGTTACAGAAATTATTAATAGTGTGAAGAATTATTGAACTAAATATAGCAACTTGACTGTGCTTTCCTGATTCTAAGGGTCCTCCCTAGGGTTAAAATTTTTATTACATCGGATTTAATTTTATTTTTTTAAATACCATAGACCTACTCTTGTAGCATTACTTCCCGGCAGTAGCCACAGTACCTGTCAGCCACCATAATAAAKAAGTGTTTGTAGGTCCTCTACCTACACTGCCTCTGCTGCCTTCCAGCACACAAACAGCCTGACTGTGGGCACAGAACCCCACCCAGCTCCAT